GTGTGTCAACACATTGTATTTGCAGCATTTTCTTTATGCTCAATAAAGTTGCACTGAATTTTACTATCTTCAAATCTAAATCAACAAGCACCATTTCTAGCAATATTTTTCCAACTTTTTCCATTTCTATTCATAATATTTGTATAAAAAGTACATTCCATATGTAGGTACCACTGGTATTATAGATAGTAATGTATTTGGTTAAATGCCATTATTTATTTCATTTAAATATGTAACAATGTTTTTTTCTCTGACTAATTATATTATAATCTGAATTGAGTAATAAGCAGAATAATATTACAATATGAAGAACTGATTTGATTTGGTTACCTGATGGTATTGCTGAGGGCAGGATCAGTGTGGCCAAAAGGGCAGAGATGAGGGGGGAATTGGCAGGTAAGGGAAGGCAGTCCCTTACCTTACTGAAGCTCAGGGTTGGGAAGGACCAAGCGTAGAATGGCTTGGATTGGGGGGGGGGGTACTTGCTTAACAAATCATGATTCTTGTTCAACAATGGCAATAGATAGTCCCAGGATCGCAGTTGCTAAGCAATGTGGTCATGTGACATTTCATCTTGCAACCACATAAATTAGTGATGGAAATTCCAGTCCCAATTGTGATTATAAATTGAGGACTATCTATATGTGCCTTATATACTGTTGTATATACCTAATACTTGTAAATACCTAAATTCCTGTAATATAAAAATAATTAGCAATAATCTTTGCAAAGATGAGTTTATGAATAAGTTTGGATTATACAATTTTCCATATATTCTCAATTATACATAATATCTTTCATGACTGCAGACTTAACTAAGAGGTTTCATTTTGCTAAAGGACATTATTCTGTCTACATTTAAAATTTGTAAATAAAGTATTCTTAAAATATCTTTGTTTATAAGAGTAGACAGATGTTATAAAATGAATCTTATGTAAGTTATGATGAATTTAAATACCAAATAGGTGAAACTATGAAGACAACAGTAAATTAAAATTAGGCTTTCAGTCTTAGTATTAAAAACAGTGTTTTTCCTTAACCATAAAATTACTTTTATTGTATATTGTCTATACAAAAATGCTATGGGATTTTTAAGTAAATCAGAGTATTGAGCTTTGTAGAATGTCTCAGCCATATTACATGACAATTGATAATAAATGTTTTCAAAGAAGATGTAGTGGCTCTCTTAAAATGATCAGTAATGTCTTAACATGCATGCTTGGTAGCACTTCTTGTAGGCCCTTGAAAAATTAACACAATTTAGAACAGATGTTTCATTTCAATTCAAAATTCAGATTCAGGATTTGCCTAAAGATAAACAATATCTGGTTATCAATAAACACAACATTTCCCATAACTGAGAAAGAAAATAAATGGGACAATACATGCCCCTTTAGACATCAAACATTTATATGTCTTATTGTGTATTTATATCTCCTTACAAAGGCATAAAATGAATGGGTGCATTTTAATCTTGTACAATCTAATCTTGTTAGTGAAGCCTTTAGGAGGAATGTTCAGAAATGTAACACGCCATTTGAAGAATCCAGTTGCATCAAACATGCAACTGAGTACTGTGAAAATAACAAATCAAAATGTCTATGGAATGAGATTTCAAATGCAGATCTGTTCTTCTATTCTTTGTACGTTCATCTTCAATTTCATTTTTGTTTGAATTTGAATTTTTTTCTTTGTCATTTATTATGTCATGATTTTATGATGTAGATTTAAAATATTTTATGTTTCTTGTTCTATTGATATTTTGATTAATTTTGCATATCACAGAAGAGACTTTGGATTGAGGTGGAATCCCAAAGTTACAAATGAAGTAAATAAATGAATTATAGTAAAGTCAATAAAAAGATAATGATCCTGAAATACATTGTTATTCAGAGATGACTGGCAACATGATATCTTAATTGTTTCTCCTGATTTGAATGTTACTTATTGAACAAAGAAGCTGTTTCCTTCTGCCCTCTAGAAACCCACTTCTCAGACACATAAAGATGTTTGATGACTCCATTATTGATGCAAATATTTTGTAGTCCACATTCAGTAGGGAAATCGGCCTGTAGTTCTTTATTTTCTGTGTTTCCGTTTCTTCCTTTGGTATGAGAGTAATAAGAGCTTCGGACCACGAATCTGGTAGCTTCAGAAAGAAGTTCATTATAAAGTTCCAACATTACATTACCTAGTACTTCCTGCAATGTCTTATATAGCTCTGCTGGTAGTCCAAATGTTTGATGACTCTAGTTCAATATATTCCTGCAAATACATTTAGTGCTGGGGTATCGTGAGTTATTTCCAGGGTGAAGGAGCAGTATACAATTCACCATATGACAACAGCTCCTTCCTAGTGAATGACTCTCTAGCATCTCTACTTTTTAAAAAATTCTGCATGACACCTATATAATTTGGCACCTACTTATCTTTTCTACTGTCTGGCACTTCTGTTATAAATTATCAATTGAAAAAAATTGCTTGGTAAATGAACTAAGTCAAGATAATACTTCACAAGATGTACACTCTTCATTTACTCTGGCAATTGGACTTTAATATCGTTTAATGTTTTATAATACAGAAATAAATGAACGGTATCATATTTTTATAAAAGCAATTAAATTCAAGCTATATATGTGCATTTATTGCAGCTGATCTATTCTGAAATCTTTAAAGGGGTGTCACGTGTCAATATGGATAGTAAAAGCTGTGTTAATGAGGGCACCATAGTGTTATTATTGAAATGAAATACAGCTTCATTATACCATGATGTGGAGGAGTATTTTAAGACATAAGTAGGTATGCTTATATCCTTAGCAATTTAAAAGAGTCTGAGTTGAACTTATCTTGTAGTAATTCCTAGGACCTCTATATCATTTTTTTTGCAATAGTATGTTAATGGTTTGTCACTACGTCATTCTAAGTTGTCAGTTGCTCAGTGTAATCTACTGTTGTTCTGTTAGTAGTAATCACCACTGATCCTTGTGCTTCTGAAATCTATCAGGTTTTGCCACCTGTTAAATCTATTTAAGAGTTTGCCATTTGCTGGTGAGATGGTAGTCATCAATATATCTTAAGATTAATTCAGTTCAATAAAATTAAGCATACTTTTCATAAGCTTGTTAGCATTTTAGTTAGTGTATCTGAAAATTAAAGACCTGTTATGTGTATGTCATGCTGTTACCTCAATCCTCAGAAGATTGAAGCAAAAGGGGGGGAAACAGTCCCAGCACCATTGTACTTCATTAACATAAGTAAGCTGTAGGCATTGCTGCTAGTCCAACTAGATAATTTCTTTCCATTTGGCACTTGAAGCTGATGGTTTACAATGTTCTACTGTTGCCAAACATCCACAATATTTTCTAAAGTACTGTTTAATTTAACATATCCCCTAACATTCTGTCATCATCATTCTGCATGCCTAGGACTAGAAAAAATGGGTGATCCAATTTTTTTCTCTTGGCCTTCCTTAGCAATGCCCACCCACACACTTTTCAAAATAAAGGATTTTTTTTTAATTATTCAAGCTTAATATCTAATGTATCAGGCAAAATTGCAGACTGTAGTATCTTGGTTATTGTTTTTGTTGCTTTTGACCCAGGCTTTTTGGTTTACTTCTAATTGTTATGCAGTAGTAACAGTTAGAAGATTGATTTTTCTTCCTTATAATGTATATTTCAGCTCATTGCCATTCAAGAAGCAAGATGCTTGCCTCACCAGCTCCATAGATCAGTGAGGAGTTGCTTAACTATAAAAAAGAACTCAGAGGAAGAGCCGGTAATTTGTATAGTATAAATCAAAAGGATTCAAATCTGACTCATAGCATTGTACTTTAAAACCAGTCCCTTTCTTTTTCTTTTACCTGTAATATTTTACTTTTAGTGAAATAATAGGTTTTGTCTCTAAGCAACTAAGACCTGGTGATGATTCTAATTAAGCATTATAATATATTTTGTGTATTTTGTCAAAGACCCATCTACCTGCAAATATCTCTTTGATGGAATACTTCCATTCTTATAGTCTGTCTGTCTGTCTGTCTGTCTGTCTGTCTGTCTCTCTCTCTCTCTCTCTCTCTTGGAATAAGTGCAGATTATATTTGATGTAACTTGACCCCTTTTAAACAATCCAGCTTTTTCAGTCTTCTGGAAAAAACCTATCACTTTTTCAGAAGATTTGATTATTGTGTTATAATGATAATATAATTGCATCCTAACAATGAAGGTAGCAGAAAACATTTATATTTACCATTCATCAAAACACCTAGTGAATTCTTTGAATAAATCAAATCTCTTCATTTTTAGAATGTATCTGATTCATTTTCAAAATATCCACAATAATTTAAGGATCAGATTGATCTAAAACCTCCTTCTTTTCTTTTTAATGGCCTTTGTGGCATTTGAATTTTCTCTGTATTACAGTTTGAGACAATTTTGCGTGGCAAAATTTCATTAATATTAGTAAGGTTTTTTTAATACTTGTATCTGACTTTTCATTGTTTTAAGTACATTACAGCTAATAATTGGATTACTAGAGTAAGTTTTGGTTTTAAAAGGGGTCCCAGATTTCCTGTACAAACTGATAGAAGATGTGGAACCAAGGAAATGTGGTGCATTGTGATTTCAGATGCATGTGTTCTGATGCATGCCCACAAGTACATAACTCATGCAATTTGTGCTGTGATATTGTAATGGGTATTGTCAACACTGCTAATATTGGATGTTCTTACTTTGACAACATATGAAGATGCAGCCTTTTTCTTTCTTATGCTTTACTCTTAGAATTAGATGGTGCTGGGGGAGAAGGCGGAATGTGGTGGGAGTTAGACATAACAATATTGTACTAATGTATGAAATAAGAGATGATAAGAATTGGCCAGTAGTAGAACAGGAGGGAAAGCCTGCACTTCAAACTAATTGGACAATGTGATTTATGACTGTTAATTGAAGGAGGGAATTGTGCTTTGATACTATGTGCTCAGGGGAGGGGAATCCAGTTTTGGCTTCAACTATGTTAGTGCCGAAGCTATGCTACTCCCATAAAGATTCTTTAAGGTAAACAATGCCTCAAAGTTCTTTGAAGAGTTTCATCTGTCGGAACTATGACAGGTGTTTGGTCATTTGCCCTGCTTGCCTCCATCTCTGAACATCCTTAGTGATGATATGATTAAAAACATAATGACATTCATGAAGCAACGAACTACAAAGCCAGTTTTGTGGAGTGGCTAAGATGCTGGACTAGAAACCAGGAGATGGTCACTTAGGTATGAAAGCTGTCTAATTTCTTTTGATTCAGCTTTGCCATCGTGACATTAACTAGAATTTGGCTGTTATTAATTAGAAATCAGTTTATACTTAAAATATATATGTTTATGACCAACCTAAATAAAAGAGTGATTTCAAAAAGACAGATATTTCAAAAAGACTTAGTAGTTTAAAGCAGTAAAAGAAAAATACAGAGGTGACTTTGTTTCAATTATTGCATTTAGATTAACAGTACAATGGCAAATATCTAGTAATATTTCTAGAAATTCACTGTCCCAAAATCGGTGTGTGATTTTCCTGCTGCTACTTGCCTCCCTTTCAAAACAGTTTAATTCTCAGCAATGACATAGTTGTGCTACAAATGTCTTATTTTAAGATAAGTTATTTTAAATATAGAAGAAATGTTGGATTCTGCTGAAAAAGTAAATGTAGAAGAGAATCAGAAACAATATCTTTCTGCCATCATAGCAATTTGGCATGCTATGAAATTAGACATTTCTACTTTCTTCTGTTTTTTTATTTTTTTCCTGATCCCTGATAACATTTTTAAAATTTCTTTTAAGCAGTTACATAGTGCCCTCTACCCTTGAGGCAATTTTCTAATTTCTCTAGAGATTTTTAATTTTCATCTTTTACTTCCTAATTTAATATTCAGCTTGAGGCTGTTGCATCTTGACAAAGGCCACATCAGTTTGATAATTGGTTGATAATAGCAGAAAATGAAATAAAATAAGCTTTGTGCCTCTGGGTGACTAAAATACTATAATTTTCCAACTCTAAGAAAATCATACACTTCATTTTGGCAACTATTCTGTTTTCTTTTTTCTCTTACAGAGTTTTCTTACAGTAATGATATTGCAGTTGGTTGGAAACACCAGCAGTCTAGTAGCAAATCAAATTGATTTCTATGCTGGTAATGTGAAGAAGCCGGCGGGGGTTCTGAAATAATAAGAGCAATTGTCATGCAAAATTCACTTATGATGTTTATGATAAAAAGGCAAGCTCACTTTACCTCCTGCTGATGACATGGACACATCCATGCACTTTTCTTAGCAAAGGTATTAGAAATTGTTTGTCTTCGCTTTCTTCTGGGATGTCTTCTCCTCCTCCTATTTCTCTACACACACACCCTTCCCAGTCACTTCTTCCATTTCTTCTTTCCCAGTAAGTAAAATGTATATAACCATATGCACTAAAATCTACTTATATAATTTTGAGCTGGGCATGATCAGCCTAATTCTGCCTCTTGTTGATAAGTACTGGAATCTATTGTACCAAATATGTTTTCCTGTATCTTAACATCTTATGGTTTACACCAAAAAAGTCATTTTTTTTAAAATCAACCAGCTTATTGCAAAACTGGCATAGATGAGTGTTGAGAGAGAGTGCCTGTCTCATGATCACTTACCTGATTTCATAACCAGGGTCTCACCATTTATTCCAGCATCTTAATCACTGTGCCATCCTGGATCTCTATAATTATGAAAAATAAATAAATATGTAGATGTGCTTTCTTTGACATCGGTGCATGCAGTGTTTCATCTAAACAAGGAAATTAGGAGTCATTTGGTAGAACAGTTTGTTTCCAGGTCCAATTCAAGATGGTGGTTTTAACTTTTAAAACCGCTCACGGCATGGGACAAAGATCTCTGAGCCACGGTGGCACAGTGGTTAGAATGCATTATTGCAGGCTAACTCTGCCCAGTGCCAAGAGATTGATCCTGACTGGCTCAAGGTTGACTCAGCCTTCCATCCTTCCGAGGTCAGTAAAATGTTGGGAGTAATATGCTAACTCTGTAAACCACTTGGACAGTGTTGTAAAGCAGTATTAAGTGGTACTGTGTATAAGTCTTAAGTACTACTGCTATTGCTATTGCTGTTATTTGAGGGACTCTCTTGATTACATCAGCCCGTCCCATTAGTTCTGGCAGAGAGGGAATACTATGGGTCCCATCTGTAACGAGCCTTGATTGATTGGTCCCAGGCCTTCTGTGCTGTGGTATCTGCCTTATGGTACATTTTCCACCTGAAATTAAGTTAGGTTCTATCCCTGTTAATTTTCAGGAAGATCCTCAAAACATGGTTATATCACCAGGAAGGTCATAGGTACATTTTAAAAATGACACCTCCATTGTGGTTAATATGTAATTGCTATACCCCTCTGAGTCTGTGGTTTGCATATTCTAATTTTAATGATTTTTAAAATTATTAGTAATTATTGTCTGTATTTTTATAATTATTTGATTTTTGTATGCTGCTCCTGTATCCTACACATCTGGTGAGATAGGAAGCCATACAAATTTGATAAAAAAAATTATAAAAATTAAAAAAACTATGTTTCCATCTTATGCCTCTTAAAAAATACACCATACATTTTATGTCATTGACACTCAGTTTCCAGGATTGTAATTTAACATTATATCCTATTCTTATGAAAGCATATTTTTATCAAGTTTATAACACTCCTCTGCAAAAGTTGGTAACCTTGATCTTTATTAAATAAAAAATCATTTTTTTTCACTTAGGAATAAATAACCCATTATACTGTGCAAAGAGATATGGCTGGAAATTTCCTCTTGACTGATTATGTGCCATCCACTTGGTGTCAGCTCTTAACATGTAGATAGATTTTCTCCAATGACAATCTGAACTTTCTAGAACTGATGGTGCTTGATGCCTTAAGCATCATACCAAACTGGCTCTTTGATGTAGTATTGCTTGGTCCATCTAAAGAATTGCTTGGTCTACATAAAATCACAAATTGCTATGAGAAGTTAATATCTTATTCAGTAGTATGTTCCAAAAGTTGGCCAAAAGTTTCTGTTGTGTAAAAAATATTTCTTCTGCTATTCTCCATAATTCTTGTAAAAGTTGAAATGTGTATTAATGTTGTTGTAGTAGTTGGTTATGTTCATTAAAGTTTATTATTTTACAAGGAAAAGGTGATTGTTGATTTTTTTCCCTCCTGTTATATATCACTCGATCACTGTATACTTAGTTACAGTATCTTTCTATATAAATCACTTGGAATTTAATTGAAATGTCAAAAGCGAGAAGGCTATGCAACTGCTGAAAAGATAGCCATTCAATTAATACCAGGATCATCTCATAACTAAGGCAGGTACAAATGTGTACCTTTCTCTTTACTCATGAGGATTATGCTAGATGTTTTAACCTGTACTGGGGTTCCTCACTTGTACATAACCAGATATTTGATTAAATGTTATATAACTTGTAGCTAGGAATGTGCTCAATATAGCAGCTATATCTTTTCCCCCAAGAGCTTAAGAGAAAATAAATTTTATCATTGTGATAACTACCTCGAACAATGATGCAGGGATTTTTGTGTTTTTTTGGGGGGGGGTGGATTTGTAGAGAAAATGGGTTCAGGGATAGGAAGATTTTTAAGGACAGAAAACATGTTTTGAAGATGGACAAGTTTTTTGTGTGTGTGTGTGTGTGTGTGTGTGCGCGCGCGCGCGTGTGTGTGTGTTGCCCAAGGGCCTGTGTGATTGTTTTGGCTCTCTTGAATTCTGCAGCCCACTGATTTGGATATGCTAAAAAGAACCTGTAACAATCAAGATGTGCACATTTCTCCTGTCACATACACAAAAGACATTTTCACACATTCATATAACCTTTGATTTATTCCAGAGCAGGATGCCATTATTATTCTTTCAAGAATTACTTTTTCCCATATACTAAAGATAACCAGATACATACACCAAGTGTATATATGTAAATATACATCTGTATAAGGAGTTCCTGGGGTTTCAGATGGGAAAATAAGAGAAAGATTTCCTGTTTCTGTTCACAGCAGTATCTGTACCGAACAATAAAATATTTATAACAAATACGGTAAGCAAGACAGCCTTTTCCTCAGCTTAATTAGTTCTGAAGAATGTGAACATATGTATGTGAACATTCTGATTAAAACAATAGTAATGTTGCACTATTAGTAAGTAAATGTTTTAGATAAGTTAATGTGCAAAAACATTGGTTAATTTATTTTTAATATGACTGTTCATATGCAAGGTACTCATAATTCAATAGGAAGAAGAGATTACAATTAAAAAAGAAAAATATACAATTTTCAGCCAGAAATAGCAAACTACTTATGCCTCAGAAGAAAAAATAGTTTCTGGTTTGCTTAATATACACAAATGAAATAGTATTGATATGTTTAAAAGATTTTTTTAAGAAACCCTGAGATGTAATGTTTTGATTTTTTAAAAGCTTTTATTAGACAAGTCATAATTTTACACAGCTCATTTTAGCAAATGTTACTTCTGTATGTCTCTCTCACACACACATTCTTAGACACATATGCAAACACAACTTGAATGAGGTATGATATGTATTATGGATGGTAACTTTTACAATAAAAGCTTTTCAAAGTAGTCACTGTAATGCTATATTAGGTCCAGACAACTATATTAGTTTATTTACCTTAATTTGGCTTCAAGAGAATATGTTGCTGCCAGAAAACTATTTAAATAATATGTAATATTAAACATCTAAAGCAGGGGTGTCAAACTCAGTTTCATTGAGGGCCACATCAGCACTGCTGTTGCCCTCAGGGGGCCGGGTGGGTGGGGGCCAGGTGGGGGCAGCCTACTGGGTGGGCGTGGATGGAGTGGGTGTGGCCTACTGGGTGGGTGTGGCCAGCTCTACATCGTTCGCGTCAAGGGTGCCTGTGGAAGCCTGGGCAGGAGTGGGACAGATCTGAGAGTCTCTGGCAGAAGGGGGTGAGACCGGGGCAAGTGCCAAGGCATAATCCACTGGAGGAGCCTCACTGTTCCTCTCAGGCCATGCGGGGGGGGGGGGCTTATGGAGCTAAGACTGAATGCGTTTCAGCATAGATGGCCACCACAAAATTGTACATTGGCTCCCAGCTGTCCTGGGCCAGGGCCAAGGCAGAGGGGGCCATTCCCTCACTGTTTCCAGGATGGCTTCATGGGCCACATGAAACCACTTTGCGAGCCGTATCTGGCCCCTGGGCCTTGTGTTTGACATGTCTGGTCTAAAGTATTGGAGCACAGGTATAAGAACTGATCCAGATAGCTGTTGTCTATACTGAATTATTGTTCTGTAGAGTTTGAAATGTAATATAACAATGCTAAAAACTACCGTAAAGTTAAGAAATGTATTTTGGGCTGAAATTTGTATTTTTAAGAAAGATCATTTGATCAAGTAGTTATACAAGCTATGTAAAAATGTTCCCTGTCCTGTCATCAGCACTTCATAGAATGATTGATGAAAAAAAATCCATGCAGAAAGGCAAATCAGCAGGCAAGGAAAAAGGAAAGAAAGTTGCCCTAGAGCTTGCTGTTTTGTTGTTTTTTTAATAAATATCAAAATTTTAAATAAAGGTGGAGAGACAGCTTCACAGATGTCATGAAAATATTTCCCTTTTCCCTCTCCTCCCATCCCCCCTATCAGATTTTAAGGTAGTGTGAGAAATCTAGTTTCCAACTGTAGGAGGATGTTACCTTCAGGGCTTCTATGAGGGGACATGTTGAGAGGGGGAGATTGCAGTCATGTGGAAGAGCAAGAAAAAAGAAGGTTACAAGTGAAAGAGCTGGAAACACCATGGCAAAAACAATTTGGTGCATTGTGTAGTAGGAGGTTGGTGGCATGGGGAAAGTGGTACAGAAATCAAGTGCCCAGCAGCCAAAAGCTGAGAAGAGGGACGACAACTTCTCCAGAAATTCCAGCAGCCAGCTTTTTTTTCCCAGTCCAAAACTATGAGTCTCTTCAATAATTCAGGATGCAGCAACCAGTTCCTCTCTTAAAATACTATAATGCCAGCCAGCAAGAAAGCCAGCTCAATACAAGGTGACTAATGGGTGGCTCTAAGAGATGGCCATTTTTAGGTTTCCTCCACAGTCTATAGCTGGGCGAGCAGCCAGCTAAGCTCTCTAAATAAGCCTGTTTCTTTACACAGAGTTACAGTTCAACTGCCTGTAAAGGTAAGGGGGAAAATAAAATTGTTGAATATCATAATATCCATAGATAAGAATTCTTAGAAGTAGCCACAGCACATCTAGAGACAGGTACATTGATAAATAGCCACCAGTAGAAGTCAGAAGATATAAACTTAGATCACGTTTTGTCCAGTCCTTCCCAAGAACCTGCGATAGGCAGATGTTGTTTAATAATAATAACTTTAAAAGATTGTAAGGTGTTCCAAGTAAACATGTTACATCATTATGCAACTGATCCGCTTTCCTTAGTTATGTCTTCACAATATTACAACATTTTTCTCAGTAATGAAACAAAGTAACAAATGTTTGTTTGTGTAGGAGTGGGGCACAACTGTGATGGGCTATTTATACTTTTTCTGTAAATTCTGTTAAAATAATAGATTCCTGAGAATTGTGGGCTTTTAACAGCATAATGTAATATTTTTCTTTTTCATACCTAATTCAGGTTAGTTGTGTTAAGAATAATAAAGACTCCTAATGTCATAT